CCTCGTGCGCCGCCGCGCGGCTCGGGGCTCGTGCTGGCCACATTCTTGCGCAGCAGCGCCGCCGCGGACTCGCGGCGGTGGCGGGCGGGGGCCTCGCCTCCCATCTTGGGCAGTGGGCCCGTGGCCAGCCTCTGGTGGCGGGCCGCGGCGATGGGGCCCGAGACGTTGCTGCTGCTGCTGCTGCTACTGCTGGCGGCCGTGATCAGGGGCTTGTAGATGGGGAGGAGGGGCTTCGGCTTGGAGACGCGCATGGCCGACGGGCGCCTCGTCTTGGCCGGCAGGATGGGCTGGAACTTGGCCTTGGCCTCGGCCGCCTTCATGCTGGCTCGCTTGTCCTCCATCAGGATGGCGCGCTCCTTGCGCAGCCAGCCGCTCGGGTTCTGCGTGTAGCTCTGCATGACCGACGACTTGAAGTAGAGAGCCAGCTCGTACTCGTCACGCTTGGGCGGCGTGGTCACCTTGAAGAGATATGACGGACGCGACGCCAGGTGCTGGTCGACGCTCCTCTTGTCCTCGGCGACCGCGGGCGCAGCAGCGGCTATGGGCACGGCAACCGCGGGCACGGGGACGGGAGACGATGTACCGCCCGGGGCCTTGAACAGCGGTTGGTGTGAGGGGGTTGGCGAGATGTCGGCGGCGCCGGGGTAGAGAATCGGGTCGTGCTGGGAGCCCTCGCGCGAGGCCGGGGTCGGATCGATGCAGTTTGTTGATTTTGCAAACGGCGAGATGGGAGGCGACAGCGGCGGATCGGGGCCCGTCCGCCTCTCGTCGGACGAGGGGCGCATGATGGTGGGTGTGGCCGAGAGCGCGCTCTGGCTGAAGGTCTCGAACGGGGGCAGCTCTGGGGGCGACATCAGGCTGACGATCTTGAGCGCCTCTCTGCTGGTCTCCATGACCGGGATCTTGGCCGACGTCGGCTTGGTCGTCGCGGGAGATGTGAATACGGGAGGCTTGTACAGCGTCCTGACTGCGGAGGTGGTCTGATGCACCATGGTTGGGGAGAATAGCAGTCTGTCCCTCATGGAGGTGTCCATGCTGGATCGGGGCGGATGACGCCGACTTATACGGCTGGGCGAGGCTTGTCGTAGGCAGCACCCGCACAGTGCAGGGGTGACGAAGCAGCCTCCAGCTCGGAGCCAAGTGGATATATCGGAGTTAGCCCTGTTTTTAGTTGGCTCTGCGGCCAAGTTCGAGACGGCAGATAGCTGGGTCGCGTGCGGCTTCTGGCCGAGGACAGCGTGCAGCGTAGTGAGCGTGCGCGTGTCTGGTATATGTAGGGCGTGGTGTGGTGTCTGCGGTGTGTTTGCGTGTGGTTGGCCGAATCGGGGTTTTGTAAGACGGATGCGGATCAAGCTGGGGCGATGGATGAGAGCGACTAGGCCCGTTTGCGCCGCAGCCGACAGCAAAAAAAAAAAAGAAAAGCCAATTGACGAGACTTGAGAGTCAATTGAGCCGGCAAGACGAAGAGTCGAGAATGGGCGACGGCGTCTGGTCAATGGAGCAAGTCGATCAAAGGAAAGGAATCGAATGCTGTTGGTATCGCTGCTGGTTATCAGGCGGGCGAGGGCTGATGAATGCACCACGGTTGGGCAGCAGGGGTGGCCTTGGCGCCGTCCGCGCTTTTGTCAGCGTGGGGAAGGCGAGACGGTCCGCCTCAGAAGTGCATGGAAGACTGGGTGTGGCGAAAGCGAGTCCACGCAATCGACTGGGCTCTCTTTTCTGGGGCACGCGAAGCGGCCGCAATCGAGCGGTGAAAAGAGGAGCAGCGACAAATGGGTGGGTAGGTGGATGGATAAGAAAGAAGAAGAGAAGCAGAAGATAAAACAGAGCAGCGGTACGAGCAAATGATAACGAAGAGAGGGAGAGGCAAAGGGCGAGGTCGAGGAGAGGGGGCAGGCAGATGGGCGCCTGAAAGGCAGCAAGTGAGCAGGATGGGGGGCGTGGGCATGGACTTGTGAGTGTGAGTGTGAGTGTGAGAGTGTGAGTGTGAGCATGGCCTGCCAAAGTCATGGCGACACACACAGCGTGTAGTGACAAATGACTGCTTTGCCTCAGCCCGAGTGACAATAAGAACAGGGCAACAGGCAGGGTGGCAGGCAGACAGTCGACTGCACTGCCAGGCAGGCACTGAGCCCAACCCAACCGGCCCAAGCCTGAAAGACCCCTACAGTGCTGGCTGCCCACCGATGTACCTACACCGAGGGAGCGGAGCCGGGTAGTTGGTAAGAGGCAGCTGCACACTGTCTGGGCTGTTGTATCATTCCGTACCTTCCGCTTCGCCTTATCGAGCCAAGCCTGGCGGCGCTAGTGCCAATCGGCATGTTGCACTCCCACACACCCCCCCGTCTCTAGAACGAGCCAGGAATGTGCACATGGCCAGCCCATGTCTCACCCCAGTGTCCGCTGCTCTGCCTGGCCTCTCCCGCCTGCCTGTTGAACATTGAGTACATAGCTGGGAGGAACTGCCATTAACCGCCAAGGTCAGGTAGACCAGCAGGGCTGGCTGGCCAGGTGCGTAGAGCCTGTTACCTCGTCTCCAGGACTCCTCCCCCACACCAGCCAGCACGCAAACAGAGTACATATCCCGACAACGAGCGTGCAGAGTCGACCAGCCGGCACACCCCCCGAGCCCCGAGGAGGGACCGACGTGGATGCATTAAGCAGCGCGGGACCGAACAAGGGGAGGGGGGCCCAAAAGAAGGTGGCGTGTGGGGATGGACAAAAGAGTCACAGCCGAAATGCCACCCACCACCGCCCTCCCTGCGCTTCCAGATACAGCCAATCCAGTCATACCGCGCATCCGGGCCCCACAGCCCATGTCACGTCCCTGCGTGGTCAGAGGTTATTGACAGGGCCAGCAGGCCGCCCCGGATGGGACGCCAGAAGATGGAACAAACCGACCTGCGTGGGTGTTGCTTGTTGCTGCCTGGTAGAAGGTGCTGGGGCAATTGCCTTGGGGGAAGAGGAGCAACTGATGAATTGACAGCTTTTCATGACGGCGTGAAGCGGCAGGGAGGCTTCGTCGAGGGCGACGTGAGGGAAGTCAATGCGATAGCTGAATCTGGGGTTCCATCATCCACCGTATCCTTATCAGCCATAAAAGGGGTGTGCAACACCCCCCTTTTGTGTTTGAAAAATCAGGAAAACTCACAGGGAGGATATGCACCAACTACAAAAGGATATTTACAAACTACAACGCTACTTAAAGCCCGCAATTAGCGTGATTTATTAGTGTTATTAATTGTTATTGTTACTTGTTATCGTTTTTTTTCATTTTTTATTATTGTAAGCCGTAAGATTTAAATAATTAAAAAATTTAAGCTTTTTTTTATATACCCTTTTTTTTCGTTGTTAATTTATTGCATTTCGCTTCTTATTTAATTTTTTAATTTACTGAAATAACTTTAAAATAACCGCGCCGTTGTTTAAACTCGCTTAATTTTGGTATTATTTTACTTAAAAGCTTTAAATTAGTTAAATGCGTCTACCGCTAAGCGGTTAAACTAGTTTAGGAAATGTCGAAACGAATACGATTAAAAACCGGGATTTTTTTTTATTAAATCCTAATTTTAAAACGTTTAGCTTTACGTAAATAACGTTTAGCATTTTTATTAGTTTGGTATAAAAGCTTTAGCGGAAAAGCCTTTTTGTACCGATACGTATTGGTACGTATTTAAACGCAATATTAATACCGCTTTGCTATTGCTTTTAAGCTTTAAAAGTAAAAACCGTTAAAATTATTAATTGTACGAAATTATAGCGTACGTTATTTGCGTTTTTGTTGGAACCAACCAGTTAAGCGCATGCACGGGATCTAAAGGAATCCCATGCACAAATCCCTAATCTGTGCACGAAGCAACCAAAGCTCCTTTGTCCCCCTATATAAGGAGGTCGGATCCGTCCCTCTCTCTCAGCAAGATTCCTTCCTCTTTAAACCTGAATACAACACTTTGACTTGACTTACCTTTTAATGATTATTAAAGTTTAGTTTTATGCCGTTTGGAGCTCCGCGAGCAAAGGACTTTACCCCCAAGTCCTCCTTACAGTTTTTAAAATTATTAATTGGTTGTTTACGAACGATTTAATACAAATAAATACCAATTACTTATTAATTTAACAAAGGTTTACGCTAATTTGTTTAAATGTTAATTAAAAAATTTTAACGGCTTAATTACGAAATTGCTATTTGTAATAACGTTTGTACTAATAGCGGTATTACGGAAGCTGGCAACCGATTTTTTACTAACGTTGCTTTTTTTAAACCTAAATTAGCTTCCGTTCGCTACTGAAAAATCGCAACTTTAACGTTTCGATTAAGTTTGCAACAGTACGAAAAAATTAAAGCAAAGCAATTTTACAATTTAAAAAGGTAATAAAAAGCGATTTAGCCCGGGCTAGTTTATTAATTAAAAAACCGGCATTTAATGCAAAAAAGCGTAATCTGTTATATATATATTTATTTACTCTTTTCGAGTCACATAGCTTATGGGGAGCTTTACGGATCGGGTTAACTACATAAAAGTAAAAACCGTGCTTCCAGCCGATAGCTGTTTAATATAAAGCTGGGTGAAAATTCCTTCCCTTAAAAGTTTTTGCAATTCCGCGTTTTTTTTGTAAGTAATTACGTAATTTGTTAAAAAAATAATAATTAACAACCGCCGTGGTTTATTTATAAGCAAAGGGATTAACGTATTAAATAATTAAATTAAATAGGAAAAAAGCCGGTAAAGCCCTCTTTTTTTATTTTACAAAACCAAAAATTAAACGCTTAGCGTTAGCTTTGCTACCGCTAGCAAAATTTGCTTGCTTAACATTACGTACAATATTAACCGGTTGTTAAAAGCACGGGCGAAACCGCCCGGCAAAAAGGAAAAAAGGGGCACTGGCACAGTTGGCTGGGCACGGACTTTCCCGGTAACGTGCCGGCGAGGTGCCGGTATTGCGGCCAAAGCATAATGGCGAAGCTAAAAAATAAGGTAAAGCTTAAATTGCACGAAGGCGCATGGAGCGCGGAAGATTTAAAGGACCGACCCCGCGTGCCCGAAGGGGCACGAGGGAAGGGGAGGTTAAAAAAGGAACAATTTTTGTTGGAGATAGCACTTTTGGTAGGAGATTTACGGAGGCTTGATAAAGGAGATACCGCATCCGGCCCGTAACCTGGTAACCACCCGCTTTTGCACCGATCGACCCTTTGACACCGGTTTAATTGGCTTTTTTTTACGTTATTAATAAAAAAGATTTATAAGCGTTAGCGGCTAAGCGCGCATTTTTTTCGAACAATTAGTAAAGCTATTTAATCGAAGCTTGCTTGCGGGTTATTTACGGCTTTATATTAACGTAAAAGCTTTATTTTATTATCGTTAACAATTTTGCCGCTAAATAAAAAACAGTTGAATCTTTTGCCGTTACCGCTTTTAACTTAGCGTTAAGTAAGCATTAAATGCGTTTTTTTATGCTAAAAGCATTGGAAAACGGCAATTAAACGATTATTGCTTGCTCGTTAAAAGGGTTTCAAAACAGCCAAACGGAAAGTTATTTTTGCTTTTTACACCGCTATTAACGAGCGTAATTGCCGTCGATTTTATAAAGCTGCCGTAGCTGCGATGCTTTTAAATCCACAATATTAAGTTAAAAAACGGGTTTAAAAGAAATTATTTAACGGCAATACGTACCGTTAAGCTTATTAAGCAAAATAAGTTGTAATTTTGCGTTTCCTTTTATATATATATATATTAATTAAACGGTACGTTTAATTTTTTTTACTATAGGTTTTCAGTACCCGCTTTCTTTTAAATCGCAATAGCGTTACTGTTTAAAGGGTTTACAGTACTTTTAAAAGCGGGAAAAAAGCCGCTTTAAAAAATATACTTTAAAAAAACTTCCGCTTACGCACTTTTTATTAATTTAAATTGGCACCGTAAAGTTAATATTAAAGCGCGTAAAAAAGGTTCGTTAACGGCTTTTGTGGTTTATAGTTTTTTTTAAAGCATTTACCTTTTTTAGCTTAATTAACGTTTAATAAGCTTTAAAGCGTTTGCAAAAATTACGAAGCCAGCGAACCGCTTTATTACGAGCCGGATATAAAGCAACTTTTATGCGTTTGCCACTTTTTCCAGCGTTATAAGCTGCTTTGCAAAGATATTTCGCGGTGCTATTTTTATAAAAGCTAATTAGCTATTTACGCCGGCTTTAAGCGCTTAATTGTGCCTTTTTAACAAGCTGGTTAAGTGGTTTACTTAAATAACTTTAACAACGTTTTAAAAAGCGCTAACGTTAATATATTCGCCGAATACGCGCGTTAAGTAATGTTACAAAGTAAACAGTATATACTGTTATAAGGAAGCTTTAGGCATAAATATTAAATGCTTGAGGCATCGGAAGAGCGGTCCCCCTGCCTGGAAGCGTATAACGCTTCCAAGCGTTAAAAAGGAAGCTTAGTAAGCAAAAAGGATAGGGAGTTACGTGTATATAAAAGGGCAAAGGCCTTTACGGGACTTTGCATTTTAAATCCTTTTTTTTTAAAGCATATTAACCGGAATAGCCTTAAACCGTGCTTATCCCTTTTATTTGCAACAATTATAAGCCCGGCAATTTTTAAACCCTTTAACGTAAAGTAAAAGGTTTAATAGCACAAATTTATTCCCTTTTTATTACTTTTATTAAATCGTTCCCAAACGCGTTCCTTTAAGCGCATTTATTTTCCTTTTCTTTTCCGCAATTTTTTTACGGAAAAATTCCTACGCTTTTAAAACCTTCTTTAACAAAATTTTTTTTGCCAAAGCAAATTCCGTTGTTAATCCCGAACGTTGCCAAAAACCTTTGTTAAATTCCACTTTTTTAACTTTTACGTTTTTACGCTTTTAAAGCTTCCAACCCCTTGTTCTTTACCGCTTTACTTTTACGAACTTCCGGTTATTACCAGTTATAAGTAATACAAATAACGATTTTTTTGTAACAACGTTGCTTAAAAATTAAAAACAATGGCTTACGTAATTTACGGCGCTCCGTTAAAACGCATTAATTTTAAAAATTTAAAACCAAATTAACCTTAATTTAAAATCCCCAAACAATATGCAAGCCAATAAAACCTTGGATTTCGATTTTTTTGCAGCAAAAGCCCGGGCCAAATACGTTAAAAACCATAAATTTAAACGCTTGGCTTAACAAACGATCCTTTTAACCAAAAAAAAAAAGCTTGCTTAAAGGCTTGGCAAAGCAAAAGCAAAGCCATGCAAGGATTTAATCCCGAACCTTTTTAAGCCCTTTCGGTTTTTACCAAAAGTAATTTTAAAGCTAAGCATAAAAAAGCGCTTAAAGCAAAGGATATCGCAAGCAAAACCGTTTCGAAAAAAATTATAACCCTTTTTAAATGGATTAACTTTTTCGTAAACCTTATCGCGCTTGCAAACGCGCAATTAAAAGCTTAAACCAATAATTACGTTACTTTCCGTAATACCATTATTTGCTTAAAAGCGCTTTACGTTTTTACTTTTATAATGGAAATTTAAATAATTTTTTAAAAGTACCGCAATACGTTTAAAAAAGCTACCAGCATTACAAACGTTAACCAATAATTTTTAAAGTTTTAAACGATTTTTATTTAAGCCAAAATTAAAAACGTTTTTAAAGTATAAAGCTTTACGCTTATGTTTAATTTTTTTAAGCATATAAAGCGCTTTAACCCTTTTTAAACAAAGCGTTACCGTTAAAAAATAACTACGGGCGATTTTACGGGAAAAATGGATACTTTGGTTACCAAATTTTTAACGATTTTTTTTTAGCACCGCATTAATAATTTGGGCATTAAAAAAAAGCTTGCGTTTTTAACCTTTGGGGGCGCATTTAAAAATAAAAACGAAAAAGCTAAAAGCATTTAACAAAATAACGCAACAATGTATAAATGCCCGGTTTGCATTTAAAACTATTTTTAAAAGCCGGAAAATTGTTAAAAATTCGTTTACGTGCTTACCGGCAATTCCAAACGCTTTTGCAACAAGCCAAATAACGAAAAGTACAAAAAAATTAAAAATTTATTAAAAAAAACCGTTAAAAATTATTTAAAAAGTTTTTTTTTTTAAAAGCAAATTTAAAAATTCCGTTTGGGGAAAGTAAGCCAAAAACGCGTTAAATTCCGGTTTTTAAATTTTAAAAAAAAAATGGGATTTAAATGCGGCCGTGCTTAAAATGCTTTTGCTTTAAAGCGTTTTTTCGGCTTTCGATATTATAAAAAATATTTATTTCGAAAGCACGCTATTTAATAATTGCGGTTTGCTTTATATCGTTAACGATAAAAAACGTTTTAACAAAAGGTTATTTTAATTGTTAAACGGTACCGAAACGGTTTAATGCGGTACTTAATATTTTCCGATTTTAAAACGTAACATTTGTACGCTTTTTAGCTTTTTAAACGAAAGCAAAAACTTTAAGCTTTATAACGTTGCTTTAATAAAAATTTTTTATATTAATATTATTTTAAAAGCCCGTTTAAACGCTAAAAAGGTATGGTTTTGCGGGAAAAACGCGATTTTGCGCATTAAAAAAATTACCAACGGAAAAGTAATTAAACGCTTTTAGCGCAAAAATAACGTAATGTTTTATAAATACAAACCTATTGCTATTTATTTTGTATTAACCACGTTGCAATTTTTTCCAAAAAATACGGTTTTAACCTTTGCAATTAAAGAATTTTTACGCCGCAAGCGTATTACGCATACGTAGCGTCCATTTTCGAACTTTACGAAACCGCAAAAAAATACCGCCGATTTTTAGCATTTGCGCAATGGTTATTTAGGATTACAAACGTTGGAAGCTTTCGTTTAAAACGTTTAAAACGTTAAAATTAAAGGATTTAAACGGATTAAATGCAAAGCATGCGCAACAATTTACGCTATAGCCGTTATTTCCAAGCGCTTTATAAAAAGGGCTATGCGCCTTTTTTAAAAGGTTTGGTTTAATTTATTTAATTACCCTAAGTTAAAATTAAGGATAAATTGGGTTTTGCTATTAATAAACGAATATAACGGCAAAATTTGGAACTTTACATTTCCAAACAAAAAGGAATTAACGGTTACCAAAATTTTAAAAAAATGGAAAGCATAAGTAAAAAAATAATACGGATTGCTTATTGCTATTTTTAAATATAACCAAAAAAAATCCATTATATTTGTAAAAGGGTTTTTAAAATACGAAAAATAAGCTTAAATTAAAAGCATTGTTATTAAAACCTTACTATTATATACTTACAAACCCAACGGGATAATTAAACGCACGGAATAAAACGTTATTACGAAAAGAATACGCATGCGCGAAAGCGCAGGATTTTTTAAACATTTATAGCCGGAAACGGTCCACGTTGCTATTTGGTTAAAAAATATAAATTTTTTACCGTTAAAAAGCATGCGCGTTTCCAACAATATTTTTTTAAATTAATTTTAAAGGTAATTCCGGTATTACGCTTTAAAGCTTTTTACGGGTTTAATAACTAATTTAAAACCGGATTGGAACGGTATTTACGCTTACGGGTGCAAAATTTATCCTTTAAACGTAAAAAGGTTTTACAACGCGGATTTTAAGCATTTTAAAATTAATTTTTATGCTAAGGTTAAATATTTAATAAGTTACCAAACTTCCAATATTTACCGAATTTAAATTTCGTTAAAAAAAAAATAATAATTACAAAAAACGTTAAATTTAATAAAAAAAGCTTTTTTAAAAGCAAGCAAAAAAAGGACCCAATTAACGTAGCTATTTACAATTTGCTGGTTAAATACAACGAAACGGAAAACCCGCTTGCAACCTAAAAAAAAATTGTTAATGCGCTAAAGCTTTTTTAACCGAAAAAGCTTTAAGCATTTATTTTTGCTACCAAACATTAAAGTTAAAAATTGGGGGTGGAAAAATTAAGTTTTATTGTAACTACAAAAGTTAAAACCGCAAAAGATTTGGCTAACGGGCCGGATCCAAACGCGCACAAATTTTTAATTCCAAATGCTTTAAAAAATGGCTATAAAGCAAAGCAAATGCGTAATACAAGCTTTTTACGTATGGGCAATTCGTATTACGGCTTTATACGGCCCGGGAAAAGCGATAGCTTTCCGCTAGTAAGGGATGGAAATAACAACAAGCCCAAAAAACGATTTTTAAAACCGTTAAAGCTAGCTTTACTTTATAAAGCAATAAACCGGTTTTTGCTTATTTTAAAACCGGATATGCTAATTGCAATTATAAGCGGCACTTTTGCAACGCTTTTAATTGCAATACCAAAAGCGTTTAAAACTTTTAAAAGTTTGTTTAAAATAAACCTAAACGAGCAAAAAGCGCCGCTTTCCCTTTTTTTTCCGGTTAAAAAAGGCAAAAGCCAACCCCGCAAAAGGACGGGCCCTTTGCTTTCGCCCAAAGCTTTTTTTTCCAACGCGCTTTTACCAAATTTGCCAATAATTACGTTTAAAGCAATCCGCGCCGCAACGCGTACGGCCGCAAAGGAAAAAAAAAGGAAAAAAAAAAAAAGGAAAGCAAATAACGTAATAACTTTAATAACGCCATTTTTTATTACGGTTTAGCGATAACATTTAACGTTTCCAAACCGGAAATTAAAAACGTTGCTTTTAAAGCAAATTTAATAAATAAAAATTAGCAAGCCTTTTTCGATACGTATTTGTTTAATTAATAAACGGCAATTAAAAAAAGTAATTTTGGCCATTATCCGGTTTACGAAATAATTGTAATTACCGTAGCGAAAATATTAAAACGCAATAATTTTTTAAAAAAAACAAACGGTTGCACCGAAATAAATTACAACGAATTTTAGTCCTCGTAGCGCAGTGGTTCAGCGCTAGGAGGTCCTTTTTGGAGGACGCAAGTTCGATTCCTGCCGGGGGACACCGGGTTTTTTGTTTCGCACGTGCAAAAAAGCGATTTATTAAGCCCTAAACCGTTCCGACGTTTTCCAACAATTGG